GGCGAGCAGGCGGAGCTGCGCCGCCGGGCTCCTGTCTGAAATCCGCCGCTCGAGGTAGGTCCTCTCCGCCTCGCCTTTCGGGGGCCGCTTTCTCCTGCTCTTCGGCAGCCACAAAACTTCCCTGCTCGTCGCGGTGCCGGCCGCGAAATGCCGCAGAGGGTTCTGTGCCCCTCGCCCAGGCTGCTTTCGGTGGTGTGCCTGCTGCTCCGGCAGCAGCTTGGTAACGTGGGCAGCAGCGTAAAAGGAGGTGGGTTTCTGTCTGAATTGCTTAGAGTTCGTTTTGCTGAGAAGTGCTGGGCGATGCCCTCCTCTGCCATAGTTGTGGACTTAATAAACGATCATGAAAGTGAAACAAGGGTTCCCCAGTCTGATATGTAGAAGTCAACTCCGTGATTTATTTTTTTTCCCTCCTCTCCACCTATCAATTTTGTCAACACCTCTCACGATGTAGAGCTCAAGCAGATAAATGTTCCTCATATGGAGCTCTGGTCTCTGATGGGCACTATTAGTGTTGCTCCTTAGTGAACGGGGCTTTTTTAAGTGAATCTGTGCTCTAGGGCTTTTTAGCCACTTGTTTCAATTGTGCTTTTTCTGCTAAAGGAAGAGCTACATATTAAAGACATATTTCATAAGCAGGCAACTGTGAATTGTAGGTACTGCTGTTGAAACTCTTGACTAGAATACTAAGCTTTAAAGTGCTTCGCTGCAAAACATTATCTAAACAACAAGATTGTTTTATCAGATGCAGCATTGCAATGGTGGCTATCCTAATGCAACTTTTAGAATCTAATTAGTAACGATTATTATCTGTGATACGACACTTAATGACACTTGGATATGCATTTAAACATGCATAGTAGAATTAGTCTTCATTCACAAAACTCGCTTGTATTACTGCTTTACGGAACATGCTATGCAAACCTGTTGAGTGATGTTAATTACTGTGGCTGAGTCGAACAGTTCAATTACTTTGTCTTGAGCTAAGTGCTTTGTTTGGATTATTTTTAGATTATTAGGCTAATAAACATTTGGTAGAACTAGATAACTTGTTTTAAATCTGGTAAGCCACTGTTAATAACTCAGAGCTTAACTTTAACGCTTTTTGGTTGAAGGTTCTACTTCTGCAGTTTATTTGGATGCTATTTTGAATCTTTCCTAGAAATGAATGAATTAGAAAACAGTTGTTACTGCCCAATGAAATATTTCTTAAGTATTACGCCAGAGAATGCCTATTCTTTATCAGAAGGCAAAGCCAAACAGTGATATAGGCTTGAATCTCATCTCTTCTTAAGCTGAAAAAGTATGTTGCTTTCCTTGGCTGAATTTCCTCCTCGCAATTTCACAGCTAATTAATAAAGGAAGCTAAAGGCATCAGTGAAAATAATCGCTAGCCAGTGGAGTTACGTGAGGGTTGTGTAAAAGTGTCATTCTTAGTCAGCATCAAGTTTTAGGATAGCTGTAAGGGTTTGAAAGACAACTTTGGAAAAAACCACCAGGTCTTCCATGGTATGTATTTGAATATCAAAGGAAATAGCGTTTGTTATGTGAATTTGTTGTTTGGTGGTTTGTTTGGGGTTTTTTTGGTGGGTTTAGTGTGGGTTTGTGTTTTTTTTTTCTTTTTCTGATGTCACTTATGATATGCTTTTACTGGAGGCTTAGGGGAGGAGTTTGCTGAGGTCTTGGAGTGCTTCTTGTGTCATGCATTCGTGCTTTAAATCTTGACACAGTCCAGTTTAAACCTGCTGTGTTTCCTCTTCCTTTCCCACTTGCTCCTGTGATGTTTACTCCGGGTTAGGTCTTGTTCATTGTGCACCCACACAAATGCTTCTGAGCATTCAAGAGAAGCTGGTACAGGAGCAGTGATGTCTTTGAGTGTCAGCGGAGAACTGAAAAATGCATGTACCTATTTCCCTAAACAATATGCTCAGCTGTAACTATCACAGGCTTTTCTGTCAGACACATTTACATTTGTCAAGGTTTTTTATATCTTAAACATTATTAAACTAGTCAAGTGTAGTTTTATTGTAAATTTAAATGGGCGTGTATGCCACAGTTCCTGTTTCTTAAAACCTTTAGTGTGTTTTTCCCTGTCTCAAAATCAAAATCATCTTCATGAATGATTGATTTAAGACTGTGTAATGAAGATAACCTTTGAGATTCTAATGTTAAAATAGATTTTTTGTTTGGGTTTTTTTTTTTTTTCACTTCCTCTTATGAGGAAACACCACAGTGTTGACTGTACTGTGTTTTTAACTCTCGTTTGTCTTCTTACAAAATAGCTGTTTCTAGTAAATTAAATGGGCTTTACAGTTTGGGCTTAAATACCTGTACACTTCAGGCAGGTGAGGACAAAAGAAGTAAGAATGCATCTGAAAACTTGGAATTCATGCTTTTGATTTTGGCTTTGAGAGAAAATGTTATCATTTGTAAAATCCAGAACATGGGGAATACTTTTCTGGGTCATAAATGAGACTAATTATCAGCTTGCAGCCAGTTTCAGATAGGATTGCTCTACCTTAACACATGGAGGGAGGGGAAAAAAATGACAAGTTTGGTTCTGATCTCTGTGTGAAGTAGGGAGGTTCTGACAATTACAGTACTGAAAAACAGGATTTAAAAGATTAGGAGAAGGGGAAACTTTTCAATGTCCCATTCAGCTGAGAGGGAGAAACCTAGAGTGATTTAAGACACCTACAACAACAGTCCTCTGTTCTTGTTCTTCTGATATTTTTATGTATTTTTTTTTACATGTCCATTTATTTAAATAAATATCTGTGAGTTTAGCCCCTGAAGCTACATGTTCATACAAAAGCATGCTGTGAAGCCTGCTCTGGTTGTTTAGTATTTAGGACACCTTTTTCTGGTGATAGAATGCAGGTTACTCAGAGAAATGTGTTAATAGTGGCCTCTATTTAAAATATTTAGTTTTAAGAAAGAGATAAATGTAGACTTGCTATTACTATTACAGGTCCTGATACTTAATGTCTATTTCTTCAGAAGTGTTGTATAAATATTATGTTTTGCTGATATGATGTGACTGGGTGATTTTTTAACTGATGTGATCATGAGGAAATATTTCTTGCATTTTACTGTAAAACAAATAAACAGAAAACTGTTACAGACCTTCTGTGTCTTGTGGTGATCTGAGGTGGAAAAGCCATATGAGGAAATTGTCCGTGTTGTGTTGGTTTCTAACTAATGTATTATTTATGGCAGAAATATGATGGCACAGTCAGACTTAGATCTAAAAGAGACATCTCTGAAAGAGGACTTGAAGTTTTACTTCATGAACCCATGTGAAAAATACAGAGCAAGACGTCAAATACCATGGAAACTGACTTTGCAGATTTTGAAGATACTTATGGTTACTTCACAGGTAATCCTTCCTCTGTTTTCACTCTTGGAAAGCTATCAGTGATGTGCAGGGGAAGAAGGTCTGGGGCCCTGGGTCTTTGCCAGCCCTAGATATTTGTACTTGGACTTCTGGTTCAGTCCAAAAAGAGGAAAATACTGTGAAAGGTGCATTCATGGGGGAAGAATAACATGAACTAAATTCCAAAAGCCTTCTTGAGATTCTGGGGCAGTATTTGATGAGGTATTTTGCTGATTTTAGGGTAACACTTTAAAACCCATTGCTCTTCCCACTAAATCAAGCACTGTCCTCAGGCTTACTGTCACAACGCTGCTCTGTGCTCTGCTTCCTCCTGCATTCCTAGATCATAGTTTCACTGAATGGTTTCAAAACCAGTATTTCTTGAAATCTAGTCAGTAATTTGAAATACACCTGTTCAATGGGGAAAATGCTGCAGTCTCTGGTGGTGATGGGGATGACTGGGCTACAGTTATCAGATGTGCCCCTTGCATCTCTCACCAAATGGTGCATTTCAAACAGTTGTGTACCCTTAGAGAGGTAAAAGGCAAGCAAGGAGGGTCTTTTTAAGCTGTACTGCTATCACAACATAGTTGGTTATTTTACAATCCACTATGAAAGGGTGACTGGAGGTTGAGGGAAGCAAAACGGGACACGTGTTTGAGTAGAAATTACTTTTCTGGACCTTTGAAACACAGGACTCTGACATCTGATGCTGCAAGAACAGCTAAATATACAACTCCTAAAAACATGCTGAGTTGCAGAATTACAGGTTTGTGTTTGACTTGCCCACTAGAATGAAGTGTAACCCTGGCTTACGTGTCCCTCTGGTTTATTGGCTGCTGTCACTCATCTCCTGCTGGGAAGATGAGGCAGGGTCTCTGGCCCTGCTGAGGTCTGAGAGGGTCCAGCCTCTGCTGCTGCTGCTCTGCCATGCTGGAGTTATGACTGAGCTCTGTCTGCAGGCAGGAGCAGGAGGTGATGCTCGGTCTGTCTAGGCAAAGCTAGCTAAAATAAGCTATTTACACTAGTGCTGGCATAATTGTGACCTGTAACGACAGAGCTGCTGAGAACAGGGAGCATATTAAGGTGTGGGGAGGAGGAGGGGACAGGCGAGCAGTGTGAGCACAGTGTGAGCTGAGAGGAGAGGTGCCCCATCTTTCCTTAATGGCAGCTGCACCTCTCTTCGAGGACAGGGTAATAACTTTTGTGTATGAGTAATGAGACAAAATGTGACTTCACATGGCTCTGAAAAGATTCCGTACTTTCAATCCATCCTAACCTACTGACATATTCTTGGGAGAATCACTGAATGTGTAATTTTTCTGTCTGCTGTCTCAGCCTCCTGCTGTCCTTTGAGAGCAGAACGGGTGCTCTGCTGCTTGGCTTTCAAAGGCCATAAGATTTTTCTGGGTTGCTGCTTAAGATTTTTCTTGCCAACCCTGGATCTTACTTGGATGCCAGACAAGTAGTCAGCAAGAAAAGGAAAATAGTTTCTGAAGGAAAATGTCTTGCTGCTCTGCAGGGAGGTCTCAGATGTGAGCTAATAGTAAATGGACAGATTCAACAAGCATCTTTGTATTTCAGAGTGAGGACAAGACCCTTAAAGGACAATTTAGGAATATGTTAAGGCACCTTCTAGCTGCTTCTGCTGGATGTCAGTCGGTTAGTCATGACATTTGTTCTGCAGCGTGGTGCAGCAGCTGGGTTATCTGCCTGACTGAAAAGCAGAAGAAACTTCTGTCCCAGCATGGGGTGTGAGTTTTACTCCAGTACAGAACTGAAATCCCCAAGGGAGTCCCCTATGGAAACCCAACTGAGTATATTTTATTTTTCTGTATTGCAGCTGGAAGTTCCCTGGTGTTTTTTTTGTTTTTTTTTTTTTTTTAAGATACTAATTAGAGTGCTGCAGACTTATTTGTAGCATTCAGTTAGTGATTTTTTTTTTTTTTTCAATTAACTGAAGATATAAATAGTTGATTTAAAACTTGGCTAAAAGAGTGAAGATCAGTCCTCAGTCTGAGGACTACATATCTGACAGAGCTGGTGTCATCCCTTTATCTTGATTGTAACTTTGCTGTACAACCAAACAACCTTGCACTAAACAGTCCTGCTGCATGTATTCTTTTAGCCTGGTCTAAAATCTAAGCAATTACTTTCTAGGACAAAGGAACACTTATTCCAGTGGTGGGTGGTTGTGGAAATAGGTGTGCTTTCTAGTTTCCATTGTTTCAAATGGAGCAATTTGGTTGTTAGTGGAACTTGCTGGTTGGCTTTGGTGGATTTCTAAGTTTGTAGCTCTTTTGCTTCAGGTTCTCACTCTTGCTCCTTCTCTATTTCTCAGTTTCTTGTGGGGATTGGAAACTCCATGGAGAAATAAGACAGTTCCATGTTTGCTGTTAGTAAGCAGTTCAAACCTAGGATGAAAGAGCTATTTGGGGCTTGGGATATCTTCCTTCTACTATGCCTGTGAGAAACTCATTGCTTTTTTTTTTTTTTTCCCCCCTCCATCTTCTAGATGCTATTTTTGTTTTCACTGGTGGTGGTGGTGGGAATGGGAGCATCCATATGGTTGGGCAATGCAAATACTGAGTAGTAACTCCGCTGTCTGCTGCTGCTTCTTGTTATAGCCTTCTTAAGCAGCATCTGAGTTAGGCAGGTGATGCTTTTTGTTATTGTGGGGTCCCACATAGTTTTGCTCTAATCCTATGCGACGCCAGAGGTAGGAAGAAGGGGCAGCAATTTGTCCCATAGGAAAGCATTTCTGGGGTAGCAGGCTGTGCTGGTAGGTTTGCTCTTCTGCCATTTGCAGCTTCAGCAAAAGGTTTGGCAAATTCCCACTGGAGTTGTTGGTCCAGGGTGTGTGAAAAGTGGCAGTGATTCAGCCGTCTGTTTAGTTGCTGTGCTGTATATTTTTGAAACAGTAGGAGACCTAAATTTCTGTTTTTCTTACCGTGCATGTGGTAACCTCGATTTAGTAGTTTTATGGCATTAGTTAACAGATTCTTTGCTCCTATTTCATCAGGATTACAGCAACAGGCACTTCTGTGTTTTGTATTTAATGCAAAGCTGTTTCCAAAATGTTGCTGCTTTACCAGTGTTCAAAATTAATTGTTGGTTTGTTTTTTTTTTTTTCCTCTTGTCAGCTTATTTTTTTTGGGTTGAGTAACCAATTGGTGGTCTCATTCAAAGAGGAAAACACTATTGCTTTTAAACACCTGTTCCTGAAAGGGTATTCTGGAGTTGATGAAGATGACTACAGCTGCAGTATATATACACAACAGGATGTTTATGATAGCATTTTTTATGTTATTAATCAGGTAAGTGTGTGTATTTATAATGAACAGTGTTAAAGCCAAAGCTATAGCCATAAGCTTCTGCTAAGGTTCTGTTTTTCTGTCTCCATTCTTGGATTTCAGTTTTTAGATTTCAGTGAATCAGTGTAGGTGGGGTGTCCTGATGTTCATGTGTAGGTGTCTGCATTTTTGTCCCTGGAGATGAATCTAAACCAAAATTTTATTCAGTTCATGATACTGCAATCCAGAAAGCTTGAAAATTGGTCATCTTGCATGAAGTGGAACCATTCCTTAGGTCATATTTTGAAGAGCTGTGGGCCTGGATATACCTATGCGTGCTATTAAAAAAAATTTGTACTTGGAGCTATACTGAATTGCAGCTTTGTAGTGAGTGCCAGAGACCTCAAAATGAGCAATATGGTACTTTTCAGGAATGTAGGGGCAGTCACCCTGCTTAGGAATGGAATTTTAAGGAACAGTCGCTTTACAATTGTGGGAGGAAAGTGAATAAATTTAGGATGAAAATTCAGCAAATGTGTTTGTATTTAATACTAATACATTCAGAATTCACAAGATGAAAGTGCACGTGTGGTGAAATGAAACATCTCTTGTGTTTGGAGATGATGATAAGCCCAGAAATGATTCACACTGGATGAAAGGTGATTTAAAGCCACTTTCTTCTGTTCATTTTCCCTGACCTTTGGCCATCCACTCTGATGTTTGGTTTAAAAGTTTTGCTGCCAACAGTTATGCCCGGCAGGGGTTTGGGAGTTGTAGTGGTGTGAAGGCTATACCTCCTTAAACATGCACTCATGTGAGAACTTGCTGCTCCTCTGCCATCTCCTCTAAGATGCAGCAGAGGCATCAACAGGTCAAATGTGCTGTCTCTGCTCTGCTGGGCAAGGCCAAGACTCTCACTCCTGCTATGTTAATTGAGTGTTGAAGCAGTTTTCTCAGTCTTCCTTTGAAATCTCAATATTGCCACTATTTCTGCTATAAACTGTAGTGGTATGCGGTTTGGTTTTTTTCCTTCCTTCCTTGCTTTGTCTCACTTTCCTTCTTTTGTAGGCACTAAGGCTGAGGTGAAGACCAGATAGAAGACAGTAGTGAAATAATAGATTTTTATCTTCAAGTGTGAGCCAATGTGTTATAGGAGGCATCAGAAGAAGGTCTCTTTATAAAATGTCTGTGTTGTATAAATGTAGACGTGTGCTTTAAGGAGATTAATTTTGTGTAATCTGGGTTCTTTAGTGTCATATGGAGTTCCTGAGGCGCTTTTTATCACAAGTAAGATTTCAAAAAACTGCCTTCAGGCAAAAATTATTACAGGTGTTGCTTTTGTTTTATTTTATTTTTTTAATTTATTTTTTAAAGGATGCCCTCTAGGAATAGCCAAGCCAAGCGAATCCTAAGTTAAAAGCAAGGTTTTTTATTTTGAAATGGGCAACTAGAAGCCATAGGTTTTAGTGTTTTGATTTGAGTTTTAACTTGAAATGGGTGAGTGGGTGGGGGCTGCAGGTATGGGGCAAGCAGAAGGATGTGATATTGCAGAAGGTGCTAATAGTATACAGAAAAACTGGAATTGTAAAAACTGAATTTTAGGCTTTGTATAATGTGTCAGTATCTCAGTGGTACACTTTTGACACCACTCCCCCTACTCCCTAAAAAAAAAAAAAAAAAAAAAAAAAAAAAAAAACCAAAAAAAAAAAAAAAAAAACAAAACAAAACAAAAAAAAAAACCAAAAAACCAACAAAACCACCACCAAAAAAAACCCAAACATACTTTTCCACTTGGACAAGTAGACAGCTTTTCTGTACTCCTGGGTCTAGTTTGGAAGTTTCTGTTATGAAGAAGCTGTGTGAAGTTGTTGCACTTGTGTTGTGCCCCGTGGTAGAGTCTGTAGGACCAGCATGTTCTGCTGGCTGCTCGGAGGCTGCTTAGAAATGTATAAATGGGAACTTTTGCTGTTGCACAGTGTTTGAAAGTGATGTGTGAGTAAGGCAGGGCCACATGTTACGCTGTCAGGAGGGCAGAGCCTGGAAGTACACGTGGATGGAGCAAGGCTTTTCAATGTGGTGATCTGGAGATGTCCTCAGAGGGATGTGGAGTTCTGACTAACTGTTTCCACTCACTTGACCTGCGTTAGTCAGACTTGGCTTCCTTAGTTTTCTCCGAGCTAAGATGATGTTCTAACAGGGTATGGAGGCTGTGCTTTTCTCCTGGGCTGTCTAAACTTGGTGCAAGCTCAGCCATGGCAAATGCCAAAGTGGCACTGGGAGGCAGAGCTTCGTATGGAGATGTGGTAGTTCCTATTGCAGCTCCTTCTGGACATGAAATGTGTGGCTGTTAATGGCTGCTAGGATTTTGTATCCAATGAGATGGGCGAGCGATCACAACGCCTACAGGAAGGAGAAAATAGGAAGACCTTGAATGATGCATAATAACAAAATCCATGTTCAAGGGGAAAAGGGTCTAATCTGTATCGAAGCCAGCTGAACAATTTAAAGAATGAGAAGCTTTGTCTGAATTCTCATGTTTATTTACTTCAGGCCTTCTGGGAAGCTAAATGCTTTCTTTGGAGCAGACTAGTGCTAGATGCTGCCCTGAGCTCTTTCACTAGGGGAGATAATGATAAAAACTAATGAACTGCTAGATGTTAGGCCTTCTTCCTTGAAAGGCCATAGGTCTATCTGGCTCTTTTTGAACAATGCTAGCTGGTGCTAAACTGAGCTGGCAGGCAGGTGCCTTCATGGTCAGTCATTGATCTCAGCTGTCAAGGAGTCAAGAGCTATAGGGACAGTTGTGCCTCAGGGGTTTGCCTTGCTTGTGCAGGACTGGAAGGCGTGACTCCAAGGATCAGAGGATATATCTTGCTTCCAGTGGACTGAGGACATGTGGAAGGCAAGTCAGAAGAGGTCTGGCCTTGTATGGAGTTCTTAGATGGTGCTCAGGGCTGATCCGTCTGTGGTCAATGCTTGGCTTGGCATACCTTTATTTGATTCCAATTCTTGTTTTCAACTATATCCGAACGTATGAAAAAGGTAACTTGTATTGTGTTTAGAGTAAGTAAAAAAGAGAGTGCTTTCCTCACAGGTGTGTTTTCAGCTGCTTCTGTGCTTGTGTAAAATAGGCAGATTAAATTACTTTTGGAGGCTGCCCAAGCTCCATGTATGTTCCTTGGTTGCTGGTTATATAGCGAATGTGTGGTTTCCTTCTTCTGCAGTCACAAAGGGAACAGCTTTGGTTTTACTCTTGAGGTGGATTTGATAAGAATTGTGACTCGGATTGTATGTAAAGCAGTCAAGTTTCAAGTGGTGTGAAGACTAACCCCTTCATGAGAAATACATACGATATCCCTGCAGGGTGTGTGGTCAGTAGCAATACTGCATTGAAGTCACTGCCAGGCATCTAATTAAACGCTGTCTGCTGGCTTGCTGTCTGGCATGTGGTTAATCATTTGCAGGCAGCCCAGTAGGTACAGGGTTCCCAGTCCCTGTGTCACCAGTCACTACTAATTAGTAGCCAGCTGCCCTCTTAACTTCCCATAAAGTATCTGCTCTCAATTTTACAGACTTTATGTGAAAGTAAAGTTTTTAGCTTTTTATACTAAAAAACCCCAACCCAGTATTGATACATATAGCTTTGAGATTGCAATGTTTCTATCTAGTGCAAAAAAGATGACTATCTCTAACTTCTGCTTCTGTTTTGTTTTTAAACTAGTACAAGCAACTAAAGAACATATCCCTGGGGGCACTTGGTTATGAACATGAAGGATCAGGTTTAAAAATCTGTAAACAACAGTACAAGAAAGGCACGATGCTTCCTTCCAATGATACGCTGAACATAGATGTTTCTACTGAAACGGGTATGGTACTGGTATACTAAAAAAGTCTTGTTGTGGAGTACTTAAACTTTACCAATTTAGCATTAGAATATAAAACCAATATTGTGTGGCAGTCATAGGAACATTAATGTGCTTTTTGCCTGTTTTCCTCTTGATTTTTAGTACCTCCCTGGAAATGGCAACTGTGTAAACTATAGGAAGCTCTCATCAACTGCTGTCACTTGTGGGTTGTGGCTTGGTTTGTGTTGTGTTTTGGTTTGAGATTTTTTAGGTTTCAACCCCTGCAGAAAGTTCAAATACAGAATTCTGGATGCTGATGAGTCTGTACTTTCAGAGGGTGGGTGTCCTTGCCACCTCTCAGAGCTGAGTCCTTGCTGTTAGCCTCTCAAGGTCTGCCACATGAATGTTGTGGTTTAACCCCAGCACCATGCAGCCTCTGCCTGACCCAATTGGGATAGGGAAGAGAATAAGAAAAGTGAGAGAACTTGTGGGTTGAGATAAAGACAGTTTAATAGGTAGAGTAAAAGCCACACTCACAAGCAAAGCAAAACAAGGTATTAATTCAAGACATCAGCAGGCAGGTGTTCAGCCACGTCCAGGAAGGCAGGGCTCCATCACACCTGACAGTTACTTGGGAAGACAAACCTCATCACTCCAAACATCCCCTGGCTTCATATGCTGAGTGTGAAGTCATACAACATGGAATATCCCTTTGGTCAGCTGGCGTCATCTGTCCCAGCTGGGTCCCCACCCAACTTCTGGTACACCCCCATCCTTCTCACCGGTGGGGTGGTGTGAGAAGCAGGAAAGTCCTTGACTCTGCATAAGCACTGCTCAGCAATGATGAAAACATCTATTATTAATATTGTTTTCAGCACAAATACTAACCATAGCCCCATACCAGCTACTGTAAAGAAAATTAACTCTATCCCAGCCAAACCTTGTTTCTGATCCCACTAGCTGGGGCTCTCTGCAGGTAGTTTTGCTCAAAATCAACATTTTGCCCTGTTAGGACTTGTCGTTCAACCTGATTATCTCAGATTTATGCTGCTTTCTATATGAAGTTTGTAAAATTACAGCTTTTCCTTTTCTTCTCCCAGAATGTATCTTTTTTAAGCCACAGAAGCTAGCTGGAGAGAAGGCTGAACTGCAGCTGAACTCCTCTTTTTTCAGGCTTGAATTTTACAGGTAAAGGTTTTTTTTTTTTTTTTTTTTAAATTAGCTTGTCCTTTCATGTGAATATAGTGGACTCTGAGCTGTGTAGTTTCCTTGCTTTGTGTATATGTGTGTATTTTTGTGTGTATTTATATATTTATAGTCTTTTTAAAACATTCAGGCTTATACAGGTTGAAATCTCCTTCAAGCTGAAAGGCATTGCTCTGCAGACAATCCATGCCCGTGAGTTGCCTGACTGCTATGCATTTCAAAATACTGTAAGTGAGTATGGGGTATGGCACTTCCAACGCTGTATGTAACAAGAGCTTAAGCTAAGGGGTAGTCATCATCTTTATATTGAAAGTGAAATATTTAGAGGCAAAGCAGTTGAGCATGTCCTGGCCCTTACTCCTCCTTCCCAAAGGTTGCTGAAATGGTGTTGCTGTGGGACAATTTTATTTTGTATTGTATTCCAGCTGATAACTTCATAACCTGAGAAGGAAACAAGTAATTGTTATTCTTGCAAAGGTTAACCCTGAAGCTTGGCTTCTTGGAATACTGATTTTTTTATGCTATATGTGACAGGTTCTCAAATTGTCTGCACCAACGCTTATGTTGACAGCCTTTTTAAAGCTTACCTGACCAAATATTATTTTGTTGTATATTGTATAATGCATAGTAATGTCAAAGCAGTTACCAAGCTTCGTTAGTCTTGCTTCTGATTCACTCTTGTGTTTCCAGATAACTTTCAATAATAGAGCCCACAGTGGAAAAATCAAAATCTATTTTGATAGTGACACTGACATTCAAGAATGTAAAGACTGGCACATATTTGGCTCTGGTAAGTATGGTGCATGTGTGTTTGCATGATAGCAGTGTTACACATCTCCCATTGCTTCCCCTGCTCTGTAACAATCTATCTAGCAAGACATTCCTCATCCTGTTCATCAACTGACATGAGTAAGCCAAAGAAAACATCTGATTGGGTTCACATGATGGCTTATAAATCTGTGGATGAAAAAAATGCAGTGTATAGAAAGTCAAACAATTTTGGTTATGGAGTGAAAAATTAAGTGGGATTTTTTTTGTTTGGTTTTAATTTAGTGATGTTACTATTGGCCAGAAGTCTGTGTTTCTTTGATCCCATGTTGCTATAATACTGTTGGAGTACAGATGGACAGATAAACAGTGTAAGAAGGGGACATTTGTTTTGAAATACTCACTTTTGTTTTATTTTGAAGAACTTGAACATGCTTTTCACTCTTGTGCCCAGTCTCCACAGTTGCAGAAAGAGTAACACTTCTATTTATGGGCTGAGAGTGTTGAAATGCACAATGTGTAACATCTTTATAATGATTTGTACTTGGAGAGATATGGGAAGACTAACTCGACTTCCTTTCTTTGATTCATTACAGTTCTTCAGAAAAACACTCAATATATCCTAGTGTTTGATGGGTTTGTCATCTTAAGTTGTTTTGCTTCTCTGATCCTCTGCACACGATCCATTGTTCTTGCCTTGAGACTACAAAAAGTAAGTAAGTGCAGTGCTCAAAAACAAAGTAAGCATTGAGATTTTCTTGTTTGTTGCTAGGCTTGTCAAGTGATATGGTTTGAAATATTGGGTACTATTTCTCTTGCAGGAGGTTGCTCTATTACTCTACCTTCATCTCTAGAAAGGATGTGTAGATGTCTGTGATGGGCAGTTGCTAGGTGAATGGGTTTTTACTAGTGTAGTGCTGTAATATGAAGTATGTTGTATCTCATGAGGGCAAAAGAAGAAAATTTTTTCTGTCCAGATTTTGTGTAAAGAAGCTTCTGAGTCATTGTGCTGCTAAAAGCCAACATATTCTGCACCTTCAAAACATGAGATCTTCCTTCCCTGGTTCAGAGTAGAATTCACACAGAGGTCTTGTAATACATGAATGCTTCAATGAACATCCCTCCAAGCCAGCTTTAAAAAGTAGAGCATAGAATACAGCCTAACTCTGTCTGAGTTTTTTGGACTTTCTGGGGCTGGAACCACCCTTTTTCATTTCTTTCCTTCTTCCTCCACAATCCTTCAGCACCATCTCTTATCACCTTCTTCCCTGCTCACCCTCCTTTGCAGACTGAGACTAGCCCTGTCCAACTTCATATCAAGCTGCTTGCAGAGTTTCACGTAAGCAGACTTGGCTTTTCTGGTCCAAATACTGTTGCAGCAATATAGACCTGGACCATGAGATGTGCCAGCTTATAATGATTAATTGATATAAATTCTGCAAGCATGTGGCTTATGGGAGATAAAAAAAGAGTTCAGGATAGGTAGGGTATGAAAGCACAGATACTTGTTTCTCTTTTACAATATATCCCTCTTGTAGCTTGTAAACAAGACAAGGGTGAAGATGACACAATTCAACAAAGTCATTATTGTCAAACTGCTGTCACAAATGGAGGCATCAGCCTTTATGCATGAGCAAAAAGAGCAAGTTGAAAGCTGACAGGCAGTGCTGGGTGTGGGAAGTGATATTCACTCCTTTAGCTGGCTGGCCTTGCTCTGTAGGAGGTGGACAGAAACTCCTATGTAGGGTGCTAAAAAGGGTTAACAAGCCATGGTTAGGCTCTGGGGATTAGTTAGGAAGCCTGTTGTTCTGTGCAAAGTTGGTTTTCACTGGCCTAAACCAGTTTTTATTTTTTTTTCCCTATTTATTTCTGTTGCTATTGCAAATGAGTTTTAAGCTATTATTCCAGCAAATTCTGTAGAAAAAGGGTGTATGTGAAACCTGAGCATTGCTGAACTGCTGGGGCATCTGCACGTATTTTTCATCCAAGGTGTAACTAAACATCTAAATGCTTGTCAATAGAGATTTGTGAACTTCTTCTTGGAGAAATATAAACGTCATGTCTGTCATGCTGATCGTCTGGAATTCATAAATGGATGGTACGTTCTGGTAATAATCAGTGATGTGATGACAATCATTGGGTCAATCCTAAAAATGGAAATAAAAGCTAAGGTGAGTTTAATGCTTCAGATAAAACTAGTCTTGTTACAACCAAGTGTAGCGTTTTAACTTGGGGACAGACGAAAGCGAACTGTCATAGTCACTAGTCATCTTGTTTACCTTTGTTAGTTCTTATGTCGTCTTTTCCTAGTGCTAGTCTGATAGACTGATAACTGGTTTCAGTCCCTTTTTCCCTAAGTCTTTCAGTAAGACCATGTCAACTCTTTAAACATCGTATTTCCACAGTGCTAAATCACCTAATCCCTGGTAGAGGACCTGCAGGTAGACAGTTCCTAACAAAACCAGCTTGGGTTGTGTTGTTTCTGTAAGAAGTAGTAGTAAATATTGTACAGGGAAGCTGAGAGTCATCCCCTTGGCCAAAACAGGAGTCTTCATGGCTTGTGGGACTGGAAACATGGCTGCTATAGCTTATGTTCCTGGCCTGTCCAAACTACAGGCACAGACAGTGTCACCTGCTAGTCTTTGACCTCCCAGTCTGAACTTGCTGAAATCCATGTGTTTTGTCCAGCTGGAAGCTCTTCAGTTTTTTTTTTTGTTTGTTTTCCTTCAATAGAGCTCTATGTCAACAATTCATGTGTTCACAAAACTTTGTATTCTGGGAAAAACAGGGTAGGTAGTGTGCTGCTCCTGCTTCATGTGTACTAAAGCTCAAAAGGCAGATGCCCAGAGTAGCCTTCAGGGGAAGCATTGAGAACCTCCAGCTGTATGGTGAGGTGGAGGGATGAGGGTAGGACATCTTCAGCCAGATAGGTATCTCATGCTTATTACACCCAGTTCTAGCCTTCTAAAGTAAAATGTAAAATAGAATTGCTTATAAACTTCACTGGTTGTAGAAATGATAAGGCTCCAAGCAGCTCGCAGCACATTCAGAGATGTAATTGCCTATAGTGTGGAAAGGGCTGTAGTCCCGAGGCTCACTTCCCATTTAAATAATGGCTCATGTTTTACTAAATAATGAATAAGAGCTTGTTTGCTGCACAATAGCATATATTTACATCTTCTAAACAAAAATTTGGAGTTATTCAGTCTAACACTGCAACTGTGTCATAGCAAAGGTGAAGGCTTTAGTTCTTCATGCATGAATACAAGAGTATGAGTGTAAATGTGCTCTCATTTGCAGCACTACTGCATTTGGGTGATCTCATTAAATCACTGCAGTTCACCTCGGTCTGTTTTTTGTGATGTAGCAACATACTTTAAATATTGGACTGCCCTGCTTTTTGTTTGAACTACTGGAACTTGAACAGCTGTCAAGCTTGCACGCCTACTGCTTTGTAACTTGACCACCTGCTCTGTTTGGATCCCTTAGAACCTCACAAGTTATGATGTCTGCAGCATTTTACTTGGAACATCAACTCTCTTTGCCTGGGTTGGAGTCATCAGATACCTGGGATATTTTCAAACCTACAATGTAAGGCAGGAATCAAACATTCAACAATTAAAGCATATATTTCCCATTCTTACTCAGGTCTCTCTAACTTGCATCTTTCTTCTCTTCTCCTTTCTTCCACCCTGGTATGTAGGTGCTCATTTTAACTATGCAGGCGTCTTTGCCCAAAGTGCTACGGTTTTGTTGTTGTGCTGGGATGATTTATCTCGGCTATACTTTCTGCGGATGGATTGTCCTGGGGCCTTATCATGAAAAGGTATGTACTCCTTTTCTGGCCTAACATGTGAGTATCTGTGTGTATAGCTCCTGGTTATAACAACAGAAATAGGTCTTAAATTCATGGGCTTTTTAAAGAAAGCTGTCTCATGAAGAACACAGCAAGGTTTCCCCTTCCACGTGTACCTCTTGCCACCTGCTCTGGGTAACAAAATAACTGTATTCTTGCTTTCACTGTGTGCTTGAGCTCCATGTCCTCTCAAACGCAAGGCTGTGTTTGTGATGAGTGGGTGGTTTGTCTAGGCAATGTCTGGCTGGGGACTAGAGGTGGATCGGTCTATGTCCTCTTTTGCCCTCTTCTGGCAATTCCAGTTCGATTGGATTAAAGAGGCACTAGTCCACTGGTAGCATTTCTGGGAATTTCGTTGACTCTGACTTTTTTTCCAAATCTTTCCTGTACTGTGTAACTTCAGCTCCTAAATCCTGACTCAAAGAGGTGGATGAATGCTTGTCTTATTTGCTTCCTGTGTGTGGGTGTGTTGTGGGATTTTGTGTTTGTTTGTCTGGTGGGGGTTTTGGGGTGTTGTGTTTTTTCTTTTTTTTTTTTTTTTTTTTTGATGCTGTTACCAAAGTGTCTGCCTGGTGTGTTGTCTTGTCTGAAACCTGGGTACAACAGTAGGGCTTTGTGTGTTCCAGAACACAAGAAAAAAAAAACCTGCAAAGCTTGGTTTTGTTTTTGTTTTTTCTGCACCCCCCTCCCCCTTGGGAGATGCTCTATGTGGCAGTTTGAAAAAAGGCAGATTCCTGTTGTGATAATTTCTAGCTGTCCATTAATCAGTAACAAATGTATGACTTCTCATTATCAATTTCTGGCTATGCACAGTATTTATTGTAAGAGAGACACACGCCACAGTGCTTGTGTCAGCTTCTTATACCCTCAGAGCTTGGATTCCTGTAACAAAGTAGCTCTCTCCTTTTGAGAAATGCAGGTATTCAGTCTGCACACATTTAAGTTGACAGCAGTACATTTCTCTGTGGGATGCTGGGTGCTGTGGGATCCTCAGTCATACTAGAGACTCAATTGTTTATAACGGGCACAGCATAAATACTGTTGTCGCTTCCCTGCAGCAAGTGCATGCGTTATCTGAGCAAAAGGAAGTCTGTTAATAATACAAAATGAAAATGCTGCCTCTTGCTAAATGTCACAGATCAGTGTCAAGGAAAGCAACTGCAGCTGCGTGGGGCTTCCTGCTTCTGCTGGTTGGCCTGTCCCCACTGGAAGGCAGTGTGGCACTGTGCAGAGCAGGCGAGCCCAGGCTGGAGTCCTGCCGTGCTCTGGCTCACGAGCCAGCCCTGGTAAGAAATGGGAAGAGCCTTCCCTGCTGTGCAGCTTCACAGGGGAGAGGTCCTTGTGCTCAAAAATTTGGAAGGCCTTAGATCGAAACCATAGAAATACGTATGTTTGGGTTTGTTGTTTTGTTTTAGGTTTGTTTTTCTTTTTTTTTTTTTTCCTTTTTCTTCATTCCTTCTACTACAGCCAGAGAGAGGGAGTGGGAATTTTGTAATGGGCTTTATAGGTGATAAGTCCTTGGCAGGTTTCTTTCAGTACCTATGCATGAAAACTTGTGGGTTATGGAGGCCATGCACCCCTTCTCAGAAAATGTGCTGCTGGGTCTCATAATGGCTTTAAAATAAATAAAAATAATAATAATTTAAAAATAAGCCATATGTAAGTCCAGACCTGCTGTTCCTGTGCAACAGTATGTTCTCCTGACAAACACATACTTCTTGACAACATCTTTTCAATATAGGACCACAATTCAAGTGAATGTTACTTCATTATAATAGCTACATTTAAACATTGTACATTAATTCATATTGTCCAATTAAATATAGTTAACAAATCCAGTTATTCGTAGGGACAGAGCAATGATGGCAGTGTTCTTACCTGGTTACTGGATGGAATTTAGCCTCAGAGCATATTCCAGCCTGGAGAGTTAGGAATCTAAGAGGATGTCCTTGAAATGACACCATGACTTTGTCCAGGGTGTGTTTAGTAGCTTCACAGTACAGATCTAGCTTTTACCTACAGCTCAGCATTTTCTGAATGACAGATGGATGATATTATTGTAAGACAAATCATAACCGTTAGAGCTTGAATGGTCTAAACAAATGCTATCTCTAACTTCTTAATACAGTATTGGTTGATTACCCCTACTCCAGTTATGCTGCAGAGCTGTGTGACCAGAGGACGTGGATTCACTTCCCAGCGTACCATAACTGATTTACTGCATAGATTTTGTGAAAACACTTTACGTGCTTTGGGAAACAGAATGATGTTTTCCTGCAAGCCTAAAATAGCTTAAAAATTCAGTAACTTAAGCTTCCTGTGGTGGTCTGTCTGTTTTACCTGTTGAGCATCACAAATTTATTTTTTTCATGGTATATCATCTTATTTCTGGTGACAATGTACAATGCTTAGCCAAGATTTTATTTCTACATGGTTCTATTATGGACATGTATGTTTTGGTGTGAATGTACAGGGGAAGGATGGTGTAGTAGCATTTGATAGACTGGGTTGGGTTTTTTTTCTTCTACTATGTGCAAAACTCTGTAAAAACAAAATTTTGACATTATTTACTTTCCCTTTAATCTCGATGATTGATCTTCACATTCTATTGATGTCTCGTACTCATTATTTTTCAGTTTGAAGATCTGAACACAGTGGCTGAGTGTCTGTTTTCTTTGGTCAACGGTGATGATATGTTTGCAACATTTGCTCAAATCCAGCAGAAGAGCAAGCTGGTGTGGGTGTTCAGTCGGTTGTATCTGTACTCCTTCATTAGTCTGTTCATATACATGATCCTTAGTCTCTTTATTGCACTCATTACCGACTCCTATGACACAATAAAGGTAAAACTTTTTTTTCCCCATTGCAATTCTAATATTATTTTTCTATTCAGTCTTGTTAACCACTCAACACCATACTATCTAGCATTAGTTATGACTGGTGATACTATTAAAATCTTTTAACTTAGTCTGTGGTGAAATTGAGAAAATGACTAGGTAGTCATCCAAATGACTAAGCAATGATAGATTTGGAAAATCATCTGTAGTGCATGTCCTTGTTTTGTATTTTCTGCTGTTTCACTTAGCTTCAAAAAGGTAACAGCTAGTGGAAATGTAAGTGGAAGGATGAGTAGAAAAAGTCAATTTTTAAATATAATTACACAGAGCTGGGTAAGTCTTGTTTGGAGGGAAAGTTTCTTCTTCTTAGGCTCCAGAAGCTGAGGTCAGGTAAGGTTTGCTGGCATCTCAGAGAGTATCCCCTTGGCAGGAGTGCAGAAAGGGCCAAGCAGATAACTCTAAACTCATTTAGGTGTCCAGGCTTGCTTAATGTGCTGCTTGGAAACGTGTGGTTAAAAGGAAATGGATTCTGAAAGACCCACTGCTTCCTGTGCAAGTTAAAATTGCATCATCCATTTCCAGTATAAATTGGCTGAAAGTGAAATTGCTTTCAGTAATTACCTTTTGGTTTTATTCTTTAGTGCTGTCTCTCCTTCATGCCTCTGGTAGCTGCAGTAACTTGTGGAGTAACCATGCTCTTTAGCTTGTGTCCTTTCTTGTTTTAGTGTCAGATGAACAGGCCAGCAGATTAAGGCTAATCTGACATGAACCACAGCTTCCAGACCAGGCAAGAGCTCCACTTTCTAGGCAGCTCGAAATACAACTTGACTGTCTTTACTTCTGAATTTATTGGATGGTCTGACCTGTGAAACCATGTTTTACTGCTACTCTTCCCTCTGAACCTTTGATGTGGATCAGTGAGGAGGCATTTCAGTGTGCTGAACCAATGTTTTGCAGAGCACTTCTTCAGCGTGGCAATGCTGAATATTGCCAGCAGGGCCCTTCAAAAAAAGTTGGGGTTCCCATGAAAATGAGCCCAGAGCACAGCAGCTTATGTGAACAGGGGAGAATCAATGCCAGTATGACTTGAGATCACTTGCTTGGTCTTACAGACAGCAAAGAAAATGTAAGAGAATCTGTCAACAGCATGAATTTTATGTCAGTTAGATTGCTTTGTTCCACTAACTACGTATGTGGTGTTTCTAGGGTGGGATCGTATTTTTCTTCTTCCTACAGCAATACTGAACCAAATATTCTAGGTTTGGCTACTACACTCTAGAGGAAATTCTAGAATGCTTCATGTCCATTAATTCTCATGCGTTATAAATAAAATGCTTTCTTTCAGAAATACCAGCAAAGTGGGTTTCCAGTAACAGATCTACATGAATTTCTGAAGGACCATGGCAACGCTGATTACAGAAAAGGACGGACTTCCATGCCATTCATCTGCTGCTGTAAGAGGTCAGTAGGGTGTTTTTAAGAAGTGGCTTTCCCAGAAGTACACCAGTTAGCTTCTCACTGCAAAGTGCTGCTTCACAAATGCTAGAGCACCCAGAACTCAGCCTGTGGAATATTTGGAATCTGTTGTTCTCTTGTGCTTTGTTTGGTGTTAGATCTTCAGTCTGCTGATGGAACAGGGTTAGCAATTATGAGTTTAAATGCAGGTGTTAAGAGTTTGGCTCATATGAAAACTACCATGCAGAAACTGGTGGAAGTTGGTGGGAGGACCACAAAATAACATGGAGTTGTCGAGTCAAAAGCAAGCTAAGACTCTGCTACTTAGGGTTTTGCAAGTCTTCTGTTTCTAAAAAGCTTTTCCACTAGGCTGGGAGTAGTAGCAAAAAGCAAGAGAATGTGATTCAGCCAGGGACCAGTTTAATCCCAAAGTTATGCTGTGTCTGTGAAGCTAATGGGTTCAATACCTTCTGTCAGAATGTTGGAAACACAGTTGTGAATATCTGGATGCCACCAAAACTCAGGCTTAGCAGTGGTGCTTTTTAAGCTGTCTTGCTGAGAGATGAAGATCTCATCTGGCGGCTCACTGCTCTGGGAGTCTATTCTTTTAATTTTGTTTCTGAAGAAACATTACACACCTCTGAATTGCTGATTGAGAGTGGAGGGATCTTATCAATGTCCCCAGGCCATCCAGGAGAATACCTGCATGTCACCTGGATGTCACACCAGATGGTCATGGGTACTGGGCAAGGAAGCCAGGCTATTGGAGAAGAAATGGAGCTGAATGTCAACACCTGTTCAGTCCCAGCTGGTGTAACAAGTACTGTTTTAGCAATAGGATTCTTGTCTATTTAGGTAGTGAGTTTTTTGTGAAATGGAGCTTTGCACTTTTGATGTACTCTGGCAGAGGAAGCCCTCATAGCCAAAAGGAGCATGTGAGATGATGATGGGAAAGTATCCCATCAGTTGCTGTGCATGTTTGAAAGCCAACTAGCTAGTAAGAACTCCATCCAGGTACAGCTTCAGGTTTTGCATCCATGTTGTTTTGCAGGATGAGATTTTTGTCGTCTTAAGCATAATAAATATGCTTTACTGTAATACACTCCAGAGCATTGAGGGCACAAGCCTTGTAGCTGGAGTGCAAATCTAGAGCTTTTGCTACTGTAACACAGTTTCTGCTTGATTGTCCCAGTGCAGGTGTTGGAGCTATATGCTGAAATGGGAGATTACAGAACAGAATGATCAAAACTGAGCTTAATTTTGTATGGGTAAATGGTTCCTATTGCATTTCTTGCTGAATGAAAAATTGCAAATTTTTTCTTTTGCAGGCAACAGAGTGATGACAACTTGATACTTATTAATTGATGACTACGTACTGAATTAATCACTAATATATTCAAAGAAACCATAGTTGTATGGGGAACAGCTCTCCAAATCGCAGTGAGACCCCCTATCTGGACCTGCCTTGTTGTGAACAGACTAATCTTAGCTAATTAAGGTGTTGGGGGCGGGGGGAAGTGAAAAGCTGCTAATGTGACATCAGCTGGCTGACCAGGAGGAGAGCCCAGAAGCTGCAGCTGGAGGAAAGCTGTGAAGAACTCTGTATTCTTGTCCAGAGTTCTCTCATGTTAAAGAAGACTGATCCTTGAGCAGTGTCCATGGGAGCTCTGTTTGCTAATCACCTCTAGGAGGAAGGAAAGTGGCCCTGAACCAACTGTTCTTGTTAATAAGAAATATGTGAAAATACTTTTTAAAAATAATTCTGTGCTAAAAGATATTAAATAAAGTAGCCAAGGAGAAGGGAGGACTTTTTCACTTAAAGTGATGCATTTGGCATTATAACTGTAATTTCTACCTGCCGCAATTCATTTCCTTGAAATACATTTATGTAAAACCACAGAGCGGCACAAAAGTGCAAATTAATTGCTGTTCTCCCTCTTGTATATAATTTTAACTCAAACCATTTGTAGAACACAATCTTTACCAACTTTACTAAAAACAAAACCAGTTAATTGGCTGTTTGTGTTTTGCCTTTTTTGGCTTGAGTCTTTTCTATTACGTCCACGATATGTGATGTATACTGTGTCTAAATTAAACTTAATGTGTTAGCTACAGGTAAATACTTCTTTGCATGGTTGGGAATTTCCATAGCAAGTATCACGTGAGGGATAATGAAAAGATTATTGCGCTTTTTTTTTGTTTGTTTGTTTGTTTCCCTTTTTATGTATTGCACTGTGTGGGGTTCTAACCTGGAGGACAAATTCAGGTAAAAAAAATGCCTAAGAGTTTATTTGCCCGATTACCTCTCTTTCAAGCACATTGTAAGTGGAAGAGAATGTATGACAGCTGGGTCTGCCAGTTGATTTCTTCAGTTGATTGACTAGGTGTCTTTAGAGGTGACCATCCCAAAGTACTGGGTCTCTTTCTCTTTGACCACTATAATTTTTTATTTTTTTTTTCAATAAGGACAGAGCACTTTCAGTAGTCTTTAAGCACTTCCAGTATAGTACTGAATAGGGGTTACCAGGTGCTTCTGAAGACTTTTAGTGGTACTGTCTGCCCCTGGGGGTGGATGAACTATTACTCCAGACTCTGCTGCCTAAAAGCAAATTGTAGCAGATGATGTGTGTTGACTTCACACAGACTTCAGAGTGTGTTGGCTAGAAGTTGGTCTTGACATGTATCCTTAACTATTAACGATGGACTTGTGCAAGTTCTAGCTTGCTAGTGTTTCAAACTGCAAAGGCGATTTGAAATGCTGCCTTTATTGGGGGGGGCAGCTTATTTTGGGGTTAGAAGGAAGTGATGTTGATAAAACTTGAACAAAGATCACAACTTACTGAAAACTGTTCTTGGAGAAAACCTCTCAAAATACTGCATTACATCCTCTTGAAATCGGGCATGGAGAAGAGTATATTGAGGACCAAGCAGATAAACATAATGTAGGAAAATTATGGTCAGAAACTAACTAAAACTTGGAAAATTCAAGCTATGATGCTGCCAGATGGTCAGGAGGAAAAAAACCTTAACTGTTAAAAAAGGAAGGGCTTGCTAACAGCATTGTCTGAAGTATACATCCTTGTTAATGGAACTACATATTTACCTTCAGCCCTAGATATGAGACCCTGATTTGTTGTCCTTGAGCAGAGATATTAGAAATTCACAGTACCATCTCAGTGGGACCTTCAGTTGTGCTCCCATGCAGCCTGCAGTGGGCAGATCTTAGAAGAATCCAATACAGCTGTAGCATGCCTTGCAGTAATCACCTGTGAGTTGAAAAGATGACTGTTTGTTGTAGTGTGGACTGGCCTGACCTTCATATGAAGGGCAAGAGAGAAAATAATTGATTCTTGAATTAAATGTGAATAAATACTTTTCCAAAGGACAGCAGAAAACTAGTTGGGGAAGGTGGGGGTTGTGTGTTTTGTTTTGTTTCCTGTTGTTTTTCTCATCCCCCTTCTGGGAAACTGGAGAGTGGATATATGGGCAAAGCAAGTGCTGGATTCACAACTTTTTTGGTAGCTTGGAAAACATTTTTAAATAGATGTCGTCTTCTCTGCCTTTACTCTGGGGTGTTTAAAGGAGAGAGGTCTGAAAAGGTGTGCTGTCATTCAAATCTTTCCTCCCCTAGTATTTGCCTTCCTGACAAATTTTTGTTGGAAATGAATGCCGTTTTTGTCTTGCTTAGTCTGCAGCTGGAAGAGTTGGTTTTCATATCAGTATTTCCATACATCCAGGCTCTGCAAATTTTAGTGCTTCTTTTGCTGGCTTTGGGACAGAATCTTCATCCTATCCCTGTCTGACCAATGCCTTGTGTCCTAAGATGTCAGTACAGCATGTGGATAAAAATTAAATGGTTATCAATGCTGTCAATAACTGAGACTTCTTACTGTTAGCAAAGGTTTTCTGAAATTATCTTTTCATCAAACAGATGCTAATTGAGTGATCTAGACTGGAGGAATACTGTCTTCTGCTCAGGACAGAAAAGTCAATTTTTTGTGTGTAGAACTTTTTTGGGGCAATGTTAGTCTTTTAGTGTTTGCTTTGGGGCCCTGAATAATCTAAGTGCTCTTCTGCAGACAGCAAAGTTGACCGGCATTTAACTGATTGCTAGCAGGGTTTCTTGGCCCATACGATGCGCAATCTTGACTTTTTTTATGTGTAAGATGCTGGTTTTTTTCTGCATTTGCTGCTATTCTACTGGTATCTTTCTGGAATATTTCTTTCTAAATCAGCTACCTAGTAAATAGTACCAAAATTCAGCACATCTGAAAATTAATTGTATTTTCCTTACTGACCTACCTTCTGCCAGTACTTATGGGAATCTTAAATTAATTATCTTTTCTGGGTTTAACTCTCTTTAATGCTACGTTTGTGGATAATTAATCATATGTGTTCCAGTATGTGTTGCCCTGATGTGGCATATAAATACATTGGGCAGTGCTTGCTTCCAAGGGCTCTTGCTTGAGTGTGTGAGTTCTGCATCTCTTTTGACTAGGAAAAGTTACTGTTGATGGTTAGGAGCTGCCAACTCCTGACTAAAGCAGGGCAAGTCCTTGGGCATGGATCTTTTTTCTCTTGCCTCTGATATTTTTGCAATGCTGTCTGAGGTAGGATAGCATGTTGTGGTAATACTTTGTTTTATGAATGGTGTCACAAGCTCATCATCCAAGGTCTAGTGCCTCTCTTCCCCAGAGCAGGTGAGGTATATCCCTTACCCTTAGCACTGTGAGTCATGGTACAGAGTCCCTAAGCTCTGACTCAAATTGCTTCTACTGCTTCTTTTCAATTTAGTAGGACTTTGAGTATGACCTGCCAAAGGCATTGATCATGTAAATACATGTTTGTGAGAGGATCCTCAGGGATGAGGAAAGTATTATCAACCAAAGGACTGTAGAAAATACTTAGAATTCTTACTTATTTTGATACTTAATTTCTGTAATGGAATCATAAAGCTTTCTTGTCCAGTATTGATTTTCCTAAATCATATGATGCTTGCTTGCTAGACTACTGCTTCAGCCCTACCATTTTAGAGCAGGTCACTAATGTATTGTAGAAACCAATTTGTGTCTTCACGATCTGTTTTATTTTTTTCTCTTGGGGAAAAAAGATAAGAGCCAGTTGCAGGAGCTTCTCATTGGCTCTCTATTCCATGGAGGCTAAACCTGACAGGAAATCTGGCACATGTTGACTCTTAATTGTGTGCATTAATACAGATTTGAATAAAGTTGCTGCCTAATAGGTGATCCCACTCTAGCTGCTAAGTAGGTGAAGCGCAGTAATGGAAGCAGAACGGGAGTGTAAGCTTTTTGCAAAGTGTTCTGTTACTTTTGGTTGTCTTGTTCCCTATGAATAAGAAGATTTTGCTAATTGCTTATAGGAGTTCACAAAAGGAGGAGTGAAATGGACAGAAAAACAGTGAGGAGGTTCCATTAGGAAGAAACTGGAAGGAATGAGGAGAAGAAAACTTCCTGAGCCATCTTCAAGGCTGAGCATTCAAGTGTCAGGCACAGTGTGGATGACATTCTGGGTGTATTTTGGGGCCTTCTGTTTGTGGATAAAAACGGGAAAAGCTGCTGCAGTAGAGGCTGTTCAGAATTTCATGTATAATGTTCAAATGCAAGGTTCCATCTAGTCTTTAACACTCTGTCTGGGTTTCATGCTTCAATCATTACCAGGCTTTCTAAGAAGCAGAGCAGACGTTTCTAAGTTCTCCAGGTCTGAGCAGGCCCACGGGTAGCTCTGTACTCCCTGGATGTGAGCCTGGTCTCAGTAAATGGTTCAGGTAGGTAGGAATGGGTCAGATCCATCTCATCATCAGATAAATTTGATTTTGTACCACCCCCTATATCTGAGTTCGTCTTGTCCTTCATGGCAAAGCTGTGTGTGCTTTGTCCTGCCCTTTGGATCTGCCATGAGCTTCAAGGTTTCTTTATCACTGTTTGTTGGGTATGAGGTGGTTCTTGTTTGCTCTTTATACTATGTTTAGAAGAGCAGTTACATGTGCTGCTGGAAGGAAGTGGCGCATACACCTGTCCGTGCTGTCCTGGTCTACTCCTAGTGGTTAATTTGTTTGGCTATTAGGAAGGATTTTTTCACTGATGGAGTGGTTGGGCACCGGAATGGGTTGCCCAGGGAGGTGGTGGAGTCATCATCCCTGGAAGTGTTCAAAAAATGAGTAGATGTAGCACCTGAGGTCTAGTGGGTATGGAAGTGTTGGGATGAAGGTTGGACTTGATGATCCTAGAGGTCCTTTCCAACCATAGTGTTTCTATTCTATTCTCCATTCTATCGTTGTTTTTTCTGGGGCTCGCTTTTGTTCCCCAAAAATGTGACTGATGACAGACCCTCAGATGGGCTTTTCA